GGTTGGGGACGACGCTACCATGAGTGGCTGTGGACGACGCTACCATGGGTTGCTGTGGACGACGCTACCATGGGTGCTGTGGACGACGCTACCATGGAGTGGTGTGAATGACGCTACCATGAGTGGTTGTGGATGACGCTACCATGGTGGCTGTGGACGACGCTACCATGGGTGGCTGTGGTCGACGTACCATGAGTGGTTGTGTGCACGCTACCATGAGTGGTTGTGGACGACGCTACGATGAGTGGCTGTGGACGACGCTACCATGAGTGGCTGTGGACGACGCTACCATGAGTGGCTGGGACGACGCTACCATGAGTGGCTGTGGCGGACGCTACCATGAGTGGCTGTGGACGACGCTACCATGAGTGGCTGTGGACGACGCTGCATGGGTGGCTGTGGACGACGCTACCATGAGTGGTTGTGGACGACGCTACCATGAGTGGCTGTGGACGACGTTACCATGGAGGCTGTGGACGACGCTACCATGAGTGGTTGTGGACGACGCTACCATGAGTGGCTGTGGGACGACGCTACCATGAGTTGGCTGTGGACGACGTACCATGAGTGGCTGTGGACGACGCTACCATGTGGCTTGGGCGACGCTACCATGAGTGCCTGTGGACGACGCTACCATGATGCTGTGACGAAGGCTGCATGGGTGGTGGGACGACGCTACAATGAGTGGTTGTGGCGACGTACCATGAGTGGCTGTGGACGACGCTACCATGGGTGGCTGTGGACGATGCTACCATGGGTGGCTGTGACGACGCTACCATGAGGGTTGAAGAGCTACGAGTGGTTGTGGATGAGCTACCATGGGTAGGCTGTGACGAGCTACCAGAGTGGTGTGGAGACGCTACAATGAGTGGCAGTGGACGACGCAACCATGGGTGGCTGTGACGACGCTACATGGGTGGCTGTGACGACGGTACCATGAGTGGCTGTGGACGACGCTACCATGGTGTAGTGGACGGACGCTAATGAGTGGTTGTGGTACGACGCTACATGAGTGGCTGTGGACGACGCTACCATGGGTGCTGTGGACACGCGCTACCATGAGTGGTATGCGAATGCGCATACCATGAGTGGATGTGAGATGACGCTACATGAGTGGCGTGGCGACGCTACATCGGTGGGTGTGGACGACGCTACCATGAGTGGTTGTGGATGACGCTACCATGAGTGGCTGTGGACGACGCTACCATGGGTGGCTGTGGACGACGCTACCATGGGTGGCTGTGAATGACGCTATCATGAGTGGTTGTGGACGACGCTACCATGAGTGGCTGTGGACGACGCTACCATGGGTGGCTGTGGTCGACGCTACCATGAGTGGTTGTGGATGACGCTACCATGAGTGGCTGTGGACGACGCTACCATGAGGGGGCTATGGACGACGCTACCATGGGTGGCTGTGGACGACGCTACCATGAGTAGCAACAGTCGACGCTACCAGAAGTGGCTGGGTGGTCTATGGGAGCAGCCTCGCTATTCAATGGTTTTTACGAAGCATCGCGTCATTTAAAACTGGCCTCTTATCCTGGCAAAGGGTTGACAGGAGGATCTAGGGGAGGGGGAACAAAGGGAAGGGGTCCCAGGGGAAGGGGAGAAGGAAGAGGAGGGGACACAGTGGGAGGAGGCACAGTGCTGGTATGCTTACTCACAGCATGGGCGACTCGGGGCAAAATCTAGAATCTAATGACTTCAGTGGATTACATGTGTGAGAGGCGCTAAACTGAGGGTAATTCAGCGTAAGGAGTGGTGGTGGGTCAATCCTTTAGCCTTCGTGACTCTCACACTCCCTCTCTCTGGTAACTAACTGACTAACTAACGCACACACACATGACATGATGGAAGGAATAGACTCTGAAGTGTCCCTGTTCGCAGATGATGTGAAGTTAATGAGGAGAATTGAATCAGATGAGGATCAGACAGGACTTCCAAGAGACCTGGACAGGCTGGACACCTGGTCCAGCAACTGGCCTCTCGAATTTAACCCCGCCAAATGCAAAGTCATGAAGATCGGGGAAGGCAAAGAAGACCGCAGACGGAGTATAGGCTAGGTGGCCAAAGAGAAAGATCGTGGGGTGAGTTTAACACCGAGCACGTCTCCGGAAGCACACATCAACCAGATAACTGCTGCAGCATATGGGCGCCTGGCAAACCTGAGAATAGCTCTCCGATAATTTAGTAAGGAATCGTTCAAGACACTGTACACTGTACGTCAGGCCCATACTGGAGTATGCAGCACCAGTTTGGAACCCACACTTGATCAAGCACGTCAAGAAATTAGAGAAAGTGCAAAAGCTTGCGACAAGGTTAGTTCCAGAGCTAATGGGAATGTCCTACGAAGAAAGGTTAGAGGAAATCGGCCTGACGACACTGGTGGACAGGAGGGTTAGGGGAGACATGATAACGACATACAAAATACTGCGTGGAATAGACAAGGTGGACAGAGACAGGATGCTCCAGAGAGAGGACACAGAAACAAGGGTTCACAATTGGAAGTTGAAGACTCAGATGAGTCAAAGGGATGTTAGGAAGTATTTCTTCAGTCATAGAGTTGTCAGGAAGTGGAATAGTCTAGCAAGTGAGGTAAAGCTCATGGAGCAAGGACAGAGAGGACCTAGTAGCACTCAGCGAAGAGGCGGGGCCAGGAGCTGAGTCTCAACCCCTGCAACCGCGCGTACACACACACACACACACACACACACACACACTCTCTCTCTCTCTCTCTCTCTCTCTCTCTCTCTCTCTCTCTCTTTCTTTCTCTCTTTCTCTCTCTCTCTCTCTCTCTCTCTCTCTCTCTCTCTCTCTCTCTCTCTCTCTCTCTCTCTCTCTCTCTCTCTCTCTCTCTCTCTCTTGACTAAGTAAACGTTCCGCCACACAGTGGCTTCCTCAGTCCAATACAAAGAAGACTCATGAAATCGAAATGACATGACTGCAAACAAATCATCCCACGGATGGGGTTTGAACCCGCGATCAGACTCTCAAAACTCCAGACCGACGCGTTAGGCACTGGGCCAGCTAGCCACAATACGATTCATCCAACAAGGTATGGTGGTATGGTTTGTTTGCAATCGTTTGTTTGCAATCGTGAGTCATGTTGACGGCTTTAAGGAGACTTGAGCTAGAGTTCGTCACGGCCACGCTAGCTGGGGGTTCGTCTGTAAAAACTTGCATTTGTGGTCACAGTGGTGCCTATGCTAACCTTCCTATGGTGTAGAAATATACCTAGTTGGATGCATCTTATTGTAGCTAGCTGGCCCAGTGGCCAACGCGACGGTCTGGAGTTTTGAGACGTCTCAATACAAAGAAGAACAGTGAAGATCAGAAAGATGCGTAAACAGCACATGCGTCTAATTTATCATCTTGTCTGTTCTCTGCAGCATTTGTTTACAGTGATTCTCTCCCTGAGTCAGAAGAGCACATCTGCACACGCCTCGAAGCACCAGCAAAACATCAATGCTTTCAATGCTGACGACAGAATCCAGTAAATGGTTATGCTAACATTTTTCAAAGAAACAGAAGACGTCTAAAAAGGACCTGGAAAATACTCAAATACTAGGCTCACGCAAAACTGCTGCCACCAAAGAATTTATACTGACTGGGCCTAACGAACCTTTTATCCACTTTGCTGATACGTTAAATAAACAACTTTCTGTATTAATATTGGTAGAATTACCGATAATATGTTAAGTAAAAGGACACAAATGCAATTAATGTGACATTTTATTGTGGCAAACGTTTCGCAGCTCCTGGAGAGCGAAACGTTGCCACAATAAAATGTTACATTAGTTGCATTTGTGTCCTTTTACTTAAATAACTTTTTCTCAACTATAGGGGCTAACCTTGCCACCCAAATCCCAAACTCTACTGCCCATGTCAGGACAGTTATCAAGGCCCTCTCTGTGTCTCAATCTTCAAAGCCCTCTCTACTTGTCCCCATCCAATTCTACAGGGGTAACTTAAGGTGCCAGAGTTGATCTATTCAGCTCTATAAAGTAATGAATATCCAGTGGGCCTCTGTAGTGAGCTAAGAAAAACTTTTGACACAGTATGTGTAACGTTTCATGTTCGAACTTATGAACTTCGACAAGGAAGCTGTGAGTGTATGCAAATGGGCAACATTGTCGCGAGCATACACTCTCATCTCCCTTGTCGGAGTTCATAGGTTCGAACCTAAAGCGTGTTTTGACACAGTAGATCGCTACATTTTGCACATTTCAATGCTTAAACTAAAATATTACAGAACCAGAGGTCATGCTCTCACCTACTAGTCAATGCCAGTATGTGACCTACATTAATACTGTTTCGTTAACCTAATTGTTTAACATAAGGCGTGCCGAAGGGAAGCGTACATGGCCCACTGTTATTCCTCATCTATATCAGTGACTTACCAATTGTTTCTCAGGAACTTAACCAGTCGTGTCTGCAGATAATACAACACTCGCCATATTAAATCCAGCTCCTATTGTCCTCAATAACAGTCAACGAGGAACTCATTGATTAGTTCCTTGATTTTCCTAAAGGTATTGGGAAGACTTTCTACATGTTATTAGGAAATAAGGATGACAATTACTCAGTTTTACATAATAATTAACAATTTATCTATAGTGAGATGAGACGAGCGGAAAATTTCTTAGGTATGTACCTTGACCGCTACCTGAAATTCAATCACACATCCAACACTTATCAGAACATTTCCAAAACTGTGGATAGTCTATTAAAAATACGCTACTATGTTTCACAAGCAACATTACTTTGTACAGTAGTACAGTTGTGTTGCATGACAATTGTCCTCAAAGATTTGTTAAGTTATACCATGAATTAAGGAAAGATCATAGACTTCACCATACGAAAGCAGACATAGCACATGCAATAGTAATTATACACAAGGCAGATTATAGGGAAAAATAATACATTAGAAAAACAAACAGAGAACTGACGTGCCCCTTAAGGTGGTAATGAGAACAATAACACAGCAAATTACTCACCGTACACTTGTTGGGTTTCTCGCCAGAATGAACTCTCATGTGGATGAGAAGCTTGTAGCGGGCGTTGAAGGGCCGGTACCGCCGCTGACACGCCGCCCAGAAGCATGTGAAGTCGTCACCTTTCCTCTGGTCGATGTGGGCTTTCTCGATGTGTCGGGAGAGCGTCTCTCGGGACGCGAAGAGCACATTGCAATCCACCCAACGGCAGTAGCGCGGACCGTCGTCTTCAAGAGGGCTGCACGGACGACCATCCTCGATGTCTTGGTGGTCGTGGTATGGCGGCGATGACTGCTGCTGCTGCTGATGCTTGTGGTGGTCATGGAATGGAGACGACGTCCGCTGGTCGTCTGGCTCACATTTAGGCTCAACTTTGTAGTAGTGAAGGCTGTTTACCTGTGAGTTGTTGTTGTTGTTCTTGATGACTTCGTCGTCGTTAACAAGTGTCTGGAAGGAGAGGTTGGCTCGCGGTGGCTGGTTATTGTTAGCCTCAGGGCGAGGGATGAGGTGACCGTAGCTTCCTCCTGACGGGGAACACGAGAGTTGCGGAATACTGGTAGTGGGGGACCCGCCGCTGAGACAATTTGGTGAAGACCTAATGATGGTGTTAAGGTCGACGCCATCCACGTTCATGGGGGAGGTGGAGTAGGGCCGTTTGTTCCGTCGGGTGGAACTGAAGGAGCCGCGGTTGGAGGTAAACGGAGAGGGCAGTGATGATCCGCCGGGGGAGACACTCATAGGAGAAGCTGAGCACCTACTGCCGAGGTACAACTCCAAACCCTCGCCGGAGGGCAAGTCAAGGAGGTCTGTGGAAGGTTGAGAAGGAGGCATTGGACTGGAGAATATCGGTGTGTCTGGAGGCCGGGGATCGGTGACAACTAACTCAGGAAGAGATGAGCCACCGGGTAGAGCCGTTAGGAGATTCTCCAAGGAGGGTGGCCACTCATCCCCCGCTAGGTAAAGGTCTCCATGCAGCTCCCCGAGGGCCGTCATAGCCGTGGAGAGCTGGGACGTGGAGCTCCCTGTCTCGTGCGGGGCCTCCACGCTGATGGTGGGAGGGGAGAAAGCTGACGGGGGACCCAGTGGAGACCCAGCATGAGAGGTGTCTCCGAGGGGACTGATGAGGCCCCCCAGGTCACATGAGGTCAGCTCTGAGGGTATCAAGGGCTCTGGAGACCCCGCGTGGCTGTTGCTGTACTCCTCCAGGTGCATCCTGCGACCTCCTGAAACACAAGAACATTGTACATGATGATCGACTCACAAAATGATGATGGGTGAGTACAGACAGGAAGCGTGTGTCTGGCGCTTAGCAGACGGAGGATCGAGCCTCCACCACGTCTTGCGCTGAATGACCCACAGAGGTTTAGCGCTTAACACGAGTTAAACAAGCGAGATAATGATGACAAGATGGTAAATGAACATAAGGTTCGAACCCACGGCAATTCTAAAACTAGCACTGGCCTGCTAATTTTTGAACTAGCTTGCCAGGGAGCTGGCAGGGAGGCCTTGCTACCCGTATAGGCCTCTGGATTAGAGAACTTGGAGCTGCTTTCCCCTCCACCGGATCAAAACTGATTGATTTCCATTCACCATACGTCCCTTGATCCCCACAGGCTTAAAGCTTCCTTTAAAAAATAATAATCCTGGTTGATGACCAGCCCGAAGTAGAGCCACCTCACCGTGGTGGGGCGAGAGGTCTGTTGTTGGGGTATGGGTCAGGTTGTTAGATTTCGAATTCTGTTTGCTGCACGTTGGGGCCAGTAAGGTTGCAATTCCCCTGAACACTGGTATAAATAATATTTTATTCCTTAAATTAGGGTTTATATTAAATTCCTTGTTTGTATATTGAGACGCACCTCCCAGTGTATATACACGGAGAGATGCACCTCCCAGTGTATATACACGGAGAGATGCACCTCCCAGTGTATATACACGGAGAGATGCACCTCCCAGTGTATATATACTGAGATATATGCCTCTTGGTGTATAAAGCCTGAGAGATATACACCAAATGTATATACATTGAGAGATACACACCTCGAAGTGTATACCATGAGAGGCATGAGTGTCCATACAGTGAGATATACACGCCTTCTAGGCTATAAACACTAGGATACATCAGGAGCTGTATAACCCCAAGGGTCATCACCTGGGGGAGAGGAGGAATGGGAGGCAATCAGGTTCGATTCAAGGAAGGGAAGGTTAGTGAACTCTCTCCGAGAGAGAGAGAGAGAGAGAGAGAGAGAGAGAGAGAGAGAGAGAGAGAGAGAGAGAGAGAGAGAGAGAGAGAGAGAGAGAGAGAGAGAGAGAGTTCACTGGATGTTACCAAGTAGAAGTCAACTCGGGAATTTACACACACACTTGAAAAAAAGATCAGGGATCAGGAAGGGTAGGTCGGCCGAGGGCAGCCTCAATTATACAGCTGACAGCCGTCAGAGGTGTCAGACAGAGGGTTGACAGGTTGGCAGACTTAGAGGTGCTAATGGTGTGGAGCTCAACCCCT